CCCCAAAACCCCAAAACCCCAAAACCCCTAATAGATAATACTTGTATTTTTATTGCAATGAGAGTTAATTTATAATTAGATTTAATAGTAAAGATATAACAGCAATGGTAGAGTCTTCAAAATAAAAGAAATAATTTGAAACCTACAAGAAAGTTTAAACACTCGGAACCGGCTCATTCGGAACTGCATACCTAGTCGAATGTCAATCTAACAATGATAAGGCAGTAATTAAACAGATCGACATCCAAGCTATGTCTGAGGATGAGAGAAAAGAGACTTTGAGAGAAGCTAAAATCTTGGAGGTTCTTAACCATCCAAACATAGTAAGATTTAGGGAAGTATATAAGACCAAAAAAGGAAAGCTGTGCATCGTAATGGATTTTGCTGATGGTGGAGACCTTTAGGGGAGGATCAAAGAAAAACATAAGAAGAGATAGACCACAGGAACATTGGAACACTTCCCTGAAGATTTAGTACTGAGCTGGTTCACTCAAATATGCCTAGCCCTGAAACATTGCCATGATAGAAAGATTCTTCATAGAGATCTTAAGTCTCAAAACATTTTCTTAACAAAAAGAAACATAGTAAAGCTTGGAGATTTTGGTATTGCTAGAGTATTATCAAACACTAAATCAATAGCTAAAACTGTAGTAGGAACTCCCTATTATTTATCCCCAGAGATTATTGAAAGCAGCCCATACTCCTTCAAGTCTGATGTTTGGTCACTAGGAGTCTTACTTTATGAAATGTGCGCTCTCTAACCTCCTTTCAACGCCTAATCTCTTCATTAACTCGCTCAAAGAATAGTAGCTGGTAGGTTTGATAAGTTGCCAAAGTAATATTCGAATAACCTGAATTAGCTAGTTTCAAGTCTTTTGGTCAAAGAGCCTGCTAGAAGACCATCTATTAATCAAATTCTGAAGCTACCATTTATCAAGAGTAGAATCAACCAGTTCTTGGACGATTAGGACTTTAAGGATGAGTTTTCGCATACTCTTTTACATAATCATGATGTCTTTAAAGCATTCTAGAGAAAACTTGAAGAAGATAAAGTTAAAAAGGAGAGAGAGGAATAAGAGAAAAAGTAATTGGAGGAGAAACAAAGACAACAAGAGATGCAAAACTAGATTTTGGCCAATGTTAGAAGACAATAGGAAGAAGAAGAAGCTAGAAAAAAGATGGAGTAACTTTATATCAATCAATATAGAGCTCCAGATGCCTATTACAAGGAGTATAAGGACTAAGATTTCTTCAATTACCAGTATATGAATTATGTGAACTAGCTCAATCAAGACATGCTCCAGGATGACAATTATGATCCCCCTTATTAGCTCCCACTAGAAAAGGGTAGTCATGCATCACAATCTTCTGCAAACGAAGATAGAGAGGATGAAGAAGCATCGAAAGATTAAGTATAGGATGTTCCTATATAAGAAGCTATTAATCTATACACCTGCGATTTCACATAATTCGTAGAACACATGAGCTAGCAATATGGAGAGTAGCAGTTCAATGAAGGCTTTGCTATTATCTCAAGGTACAAGGAATTGATTTACAGTGAAGAAGGAGAAGAGCAATTAGTCAAAAAGCTCAAGCATCTATTCGCTAGTGAAGAATTAATTAGAGGATTCCTTAATTTCTGCACCTCATTCATCATAGTCTAGAATTACAGCCAAAATATTTGAAGATTCCCTTATGCTTTAAATTTTGCTTAAGATCAATTTTAATAATCTCTTTCTTTGAAATTGCAAAAATAATTGATTTGACACTCGTGGGGTTTTGGGGTTTTGGGGTTTTGGGG